ATGTATGAAGCAAAAACTCAGCATCATTTTCTCTCAACAGAACAATGGTGACGTCATCATGGCATCACACGCCATATGTATCAATGGTGAAGATAGTGGCAGTGATGGTGCTGGGTGTGGTGGTTGTTGACGGCGCCACGGAACTCGAATGCAACAAGAGCTGTAGCTGTTGGGTGAAGGGCGAATTCTCGAAGGAATATCGTGTTATCTGCAATAACACCGTTGATAAGGTATGTGATTTCGAGGTTGTTAATTTTGGACTGATTGCCTTTTCTTCGGGGGAGGGGGGAGAGGGTTAATTATATCTGTTTAATTTTGTTGTTGTTATTGGGTTTTACTCCTGAATTATCAATAGGATTTTGAAACTACATTCATATCAGGTAAGTGATGAAACTACTTTCTTAAATCACTTTCTATTTTTTTCTTTCCTTTTTTTTTGCATCAGTTTTTATTCATCATAACTACATTCATTCCCAAGACCACACAACAGGATATATGAGTTCAGTGTAACTCCTCTTAGACATGACAGCCCTTTGTCATGTACTCACTTCTGAGTAAACACGAAATGCCACATTTCACCAGATCTTATTTCGAGAGATGGGTGCACATCTTGTTGTTTTCCTGTCTCTCTCTCTCTTTAAATCTTTGCCTGTCAGTCTGTCTGTCTCCCCACACCCTCTGTGTGTGTGTGTGTGTGTTTGTGTGTATGTGTGTGTGTGTGTGTGTGTGTGTGTGTGTGTGTGTGTGTGTGTGTGTGTGTGTGTGTGTGTGTGTGTGTGTGTGTGTGTGTGTGTGTCGCTCGTTCATTCACACGTTCGCTCGCTTCCAGGTTTCTCTCTCTTTGATACTACTTCTGCGTTCCTCTTCCCTCTTTAAAAAAATCCCTCCTGTTTAGAAACAATGCTGGAAGTGATGCGGCCCATGAAATAAGAAATCTGTAAATCAAAAGTCTACCGTGGTTTACAGCCTCTGTAATTTAAATGGTCTACAACCCTATGGATTCACATATCTACAAATTAGAAGAGTTAAAAATAGCCGTAAATTAAAGTATCTACCCCCTCTTAAAAGATGTACTGCCCTATGTATAAGAAACAAACAAACTTTGAATTAAGGAAAAAAAACAAAACTACACTATGAGCTAAAAAATGTATGTAGAAGATCTACTGCCCTAGGAATTAAAAGAGTGTTTATATATATATATGTAGATATATATGTACATACATACATACATACATACATACATATATATGTATACATATATGTATATATATACATATATATATACATATATATGTATACATATATATATATATATATATATATATATATATATATATATATATATATATATATATATATACATATATATATATATATATATGAATTAAAAGGTTTAAATGTTAAAGTTCTACGACGTAATTGTTCAACAAACCCATGAATTAAAATGTCTCTAAACGTAAAGATATACGAGACCATGGACTACAACATATGTGAATTAGAAGATCATATTTATTTAACGAAAGGCAGTGGCAAACCGGATGTGGGGAGTTAGTAATGCCACCACACAGACACACTCGCAAGAAAATGTCCTTAGGAAACGCGTCACTGCTGAAGTTTTAGAGAAAACCTACTAACTTCAAATTTACTTAATAAACTGTAGAGCGTGTGTCCAGTTTCCTATATGAACAAATGCGATTTCTAATGTAATTTTGAGCGTTCTTATCATAGAATTCCTTATTAGTATTTAGAGTTCGTACGCCCGCGCGCGTGTGTGTGTGAAGAGGGAGTGTATGTGTGAATAAGTGTGTATTTTTGGATGTGTCTCTTTACGCTTGCGTGTTATTATGCATCTCTCTCTGTCTCTCTCTCTCTTTCCCCTATCTCTTCCTCTCTGTCTGTCTGTCTCTCTCTTTGTCTCTCTCTGTCTCTCTCTCTCTCACTCACTCGCTCACTCACTCACTCTCCCTCTCTCACACCTGTGTGTGTGCGTAAAAGTAGGTATGCATTTAGCAGATACATGAGAGTGTGCTAGTGCCCGCACGTGCAGAGTAGCAACCCACTCTCCCAAACCCAGCCAGAGAAAGCCAGGCCCAGCTTAAGCCGTAAACCGCAAGGCAAGGCTGTTTCCGACAGGATGTTAGCCGTCGCGACAAGGCCAGATTTCGCTATCGCCATTACGTGTGATAAGACGTCAGCGTTTTGAACTCTGAATGTTTGACGGAGAGAGAAAGAAAGAGGGAGGAGGAGGGGAAAGGCGAAAGAGAAAGTGAGATTTAGAGATAGATAGATAGACTCAAGATATATATATATATATATATATATATATATATATATATATATATATGTATATATATATATAAAGTGAGAGATAGAGCGAGAGAGAGAGAGAAAGGGGCGGGGGGAGGGGGGAAGAGAGAGAGAGTAAGATAGGAAAAAGAGAGAATGGGAAAGAGAGAGAGAGAGAGGGTGAGAAAGAGTAAGGTAGAGAGAAAGAGAGATAGATAAATAGCTATTTATATAGATAGAGAGATTGCAATTGCATTTAAATAGTCATTCACACAACATACTATATCGTAATAAACTGTAAGCACACATACCATCGTACAACCTATCGGAGTAAGACAAGAAGGAGATAAGACATACTCTCTAAGATGCGACACAAAGGTTAACAGGATGCTGTAACCTTAACTGATTTTGCGTTGTTCTTACAAGTACGTCCTGTAACATATCTCATTAAGAGTAGAATCTCATGAATGCCAGGGAAAAAAAAACGTATTGAGCACCAAGTTTGAGTATTACTTTCTAGTTTCGCCCACACAGGCAGTGCATCATTTTCTCTCAAGCTTGAAGTTCCGTTTTCTTTTATTACCCCTATGAAAGACAGGAGGTTCAGTGATTTCGGAAATGGTTTTAAGTTTACTGCTGTACCTAAAGCGTGCATACGAATACGCACACCCACACCCACATTCTTAACCCAATGCCGACGGGTATGGCGTGTACGTACTTGCCATGCCCACTGTGAGTTACTTGTTTGATTATTTTTACACATAGATGACTACACTTGTACTAAGTCACCAATGAGCCAGTTACGAGTACTGCCTGTCTCGCCCGTTTATCCTTTTCTTTGATTTACGAAAACATTTTACGTTATCTTATTTTGCTGTTACTGATGTTTATAACTTTATAGTAATTATAATGTTTATAATAAAAAGAACGAACATCGATATTCATAGCACTTGTAAAAATACATATTTCACGTAAGGTCACATGGTCTACTAATTGACTCCTTTGTCGCTAAGCACTAGCAGAGCCATCTGTGTGCAGAGACATTTCACGTTAAAAACATATAACATATATATATTTGTCTTTCTTGTGTATATATCCTGACGTCTTTCTCCGGTTCTTTCTGTATGTTCTTTCTGTGTTTCTCTCACACTCTTCCTTTCCTCTCTTTCAATCCAAATTTTGAAGAAAGAATGTGTGCAGTTGCTGCTGATTACATTTGCCTCTTTGCAGACATATCTTTAATCGCCTCCTTAAAAACCTGCTCATATTCTCTGAAAGACTTTTATTAATTATCTCTCTATTCTTATCATTATTAATACTATCATAACCACCATTGTATTTGTCCTTATGATGATGATAATAATAATGATAATAATAACAATTATTATTATTATATTGATCATTATTACAATCATTATCATCATCATCATCATCATAATCATTATTAATTTTGTTCTTCATATTATCATTATCTTTATAATCATCATTATTATTGCCATCATTATGACTATTACTAAGATTATTATAATTATTATTATTAATATTATTATTGCTATTGTGATTATTTTCATTAACATTATCACTATAATTTGCTTCTTTAATTCTTTCTGTCTATTTTTTACTGTTTTACATCTTCTCTTTCTTTCTTTCCCTTTCCCTCGTTCTTTTTCTTTTTCATGGTTCTCCTGTGCTTCACCACATTCCACCGCACGCCCTCTTGCACTTCTAAGGGAAGACGAGAAAACACACGAATATTCTGAAGGCCTTTTCGCTATATTGTTCTTCGACATATTCGTGTGTTTTCTTGTTTTTCCCTTCGTTGTTCTAATTTGTTCAGCGTGAATCCTACACAAAACCAACGTCCGTACACAGGACTATCTCCGCCGCCGAAACCACATTTCGCTCTCCCTGTCCACAGCACGTGCGGCTAACCAGAAAGGTCTTCTCTGTGCTCTCCGTCCCCACCTTCTCCACCTACGTCCGAGTGGAGGATGTGGAGTCCCTGAGTGTGGACGAGGCCTTTCTTGAGGAGTGGAGGTCGGAATTCCACTCCTGCGCCCTTGACCTGTGGCAAGCGGGGAGTGTGGACTTCCCGGTGGTCACCTCTCGCCATTTCGCTGAACCTTTGGGCTTCGAACACGTTTTCGCAGGTTCGTGAAGCTTCGGTTTCGATCGTCACTATTTTTTGCGTTTTCGTTCGGCTGCTTTTTTTCGTGATTAATCGATTTGGTTTGCTTCTCCTGCTCTTTTTTTTATTATCTGCTTTGTTTTTCAATTCTTTGATCGTTGTTTTTAATCAATCTATTTTTCCGTTTATGCGTTTTTGTAGTTTTTGCTTAACGAGTTCTAATTCGCACTCTCGTTCCAGGGATTGGCGTGATCAACAGCACGCTGAACCACCTTCCTCCTGGGATCTTCCGAGGCAAGCAGGAGGCGGGGCTGAGGCTGTGGCAGAGCTCCGTGGGCGTGTTTCCCCCCGGCCTCTTCCATGGCGTGGGTACCCTGAAGTACTTAGCCCTTGTATCCTCCCGCGTAGGTCTCTTCCAGGGACCTGTTGCGGGCGAGAACGGCAGCCTCTCGCTCGGAGGACCCAGCAAGGTGGCCGTCCAGGTGCTGGACTCGGACATAGGGTTTCTCGGGCCCGGCGCCTTCGCCTTCGACTCCTCCGAAGTCAAGGAAGTGGAGCTCACCAACGTCACCATTGGCAGCGTGGC